AATAGATTTTTTAAAAATATTACTAACAATAAAATTTTGTCGGCATTAAATGACCCATTGAGGTTGATATGCCGTGAAATCAAAATATCTATCTATCTATCTATCTATCTATCTATCTATCTAAATATTACCAGAAATAGATTGTTTTAAAAATATTACCAACAATAAAATTTTGTCGGCATTAAATGACCCATTGAGGTTGATATGCCGTAAAATCAAAAAATCTATCTATCTATCTATCTATCTATCTATCTATCTATCTATCTATCTATCTATCTATCTTATGCACGGACGACTGTAATTTGAATACGCCGACTTCAGACATTGCAGAGATGTAAAAATGCCCACTTTCATAAGAAGGAACATTATTGCTCAAAAATGAATCATTTCCATTCTGCAGTAAAATGAAACCCAATTCTTCCATTTTTACTCCAGTCCAAAGCGAACTCCTGCAAACATTTTTTTTTAAATCTGGTGCTAACCAGACCAGTTTCTCCGTCTTTTACTCTTTTGCAAACCGGACTTATATCCGACTATTGGTACTGAAATCCATACCAGTGTCTAATTCTTTGATTTATTTTCTCTTAGTCCTGTATTGGAATTCAAATTGGCCAACAAGTGTTGAATTGTACACTATTTACATTATTCGGATTATTGTCATCATCTTTGTCGCCATATTTATTACAACCTTTCGGCCGTTGTACGCTCCGGCCTTATCGAACTGAACCCTTTATTTCGCTCACTGGGGTAGACTGTTCTAGTTCCACGTACCATGTTTAATGAATGTCAGTTATCAGTTACCTCCTGTTAATTCCCCCTCCAAGTTTTCCACTGCCTTAATCACACTGTTTGGGTCCTGTCACTGGATCTAACCAACGCCTTTATCCACAGTGCCAATACACAGGGCCGAAACGTTGTAATAAATATGGCGACAGAGATGAGGAAAATAGTCTGAATAATGTAAATAATGTACATATTACCTCATCTCAGAAATATAGACAGATACTGAAAGGCCGAAACATTGTAATAAATATGGCGACAAAGATGAGGACAATAGTCGGAATAATGTAAATAGTGTACATAATACCTCATCTCAGAAATATAGACAGATACTGAAAGGCCGAAACGTTGTAATAAATATGGCGACAAAGATGAGGACAATAGTCCGAATAATGTAAATAGTGTACATAATACCTCATCTCAGAAATATAGACAGATACCGAAAGGCCGGAACGTAGTAATAAATATGGGGACAAAGATGAGGACAATAGTCCGAATAATGTAAATACGGTGCATAATACCTCATCTCAGAAATATAGACAGTTTTGAATTGGCATTAACCAAATATAACCTATTTCACCTGTCTATTAACACATTTATAACATCGTATCAAATAGTATTTGAATCAGAACTTTTCGTGTTTCTATTTAATTAATAGCCAATTGTACAAAGCTATGCACGTAATAATCTTGTGTTAATGAAACTAACGAAGAAAAATGTTTTTTCATGCTAAGTACAATAAAAGAAATGGCGATGTACAAAAAAGAAAGAGTTCACAGTTAGAAAAATCATATTTTTGACAAATATTGAAAATCATTGCTCGTTTATATTTTTGGCGATTTTCGAAAATTAATAGCGTCAATTTTCGCTTCAGCAAACGTTGAAGATGGCATATTTTATTTTTTCGTTTCTTCTCAATAAATGAATTCAAGTCTTCGTGTGTTTAATTTCTGAAAAATACTCCGCTTGTTTATCGCTAAAACTGATTGCGAAATTTGTGCAAATGACTAAAATTAAATGTTTTGAAATTAAAAACGAGAAAAAAGGAAAAATAAACATCAAGTCGGGGAAAAAGCCTTAAATAGACAAATTAGTAAATACATCGACTTGAATTTAAATTTAAAAATCTTTCTCATTTAAATCATTTTTTTTCTTTTTGGATAAAATATTCTTTGAATTCAATTTGGTGTTTAGTTACGAAGGAATGTATTTTGGAGTTTTAATTAATTGAGTTTGCTTTTTAAAAAAATCATTTAACGTTTTAATAGCCTCAAATCGATGCCTATGGGGAAGCGCTAATCGGCCCTTAGTGTGTAGTTCGACCACAAGTAAATGTGTACAAATATGTATGTCTACAATCAACGAGACGTTCACGTTTCCAGTCCTAGTTTCGACGATAAACTACATCCGGCAGCAAGGTCTCTGATCGGGATATTGGAAGCAATATTTATTTGTACACTGTATAAAATATGGCACAAGGCCAAAAAAGGGGATTGGGGAAATGGATGGTCTTCTGTCTTAACTTTAAACTTAGCTAGCCATAAGCTCTGACACAAACATACAAACAATAGTCCTAACACCAAAACAACATATTCTTAACTACCTTTCTTACTACAGTATTTATATTAGTCGGACTATTGTCCTCATCTTTGTCGCCATATTTGTCACAACGTTTCGGCCGTTGTACGCTCCGGCCTTCTTCAGGTGATTGGAATTTCGAACTGAATCCTTTATTTCGATCACTGGGGTAGACTGTTCTAGTTCCACGTGCCATGTTTGATGGATGTCAGTTATTAGTTATCTCCTGCTAATTTTCACACTGAAAGTTTTCCACTGCCTTAACCAGGAATTGAACTCACCTTCTTTGGGTCTGTCACTGGATCTAACCAACGCCTTTATCCACTGTGCCATGTGTCCTTGAGGACACATGGCACCTGAAGAAGGCCGGAGCGTACAACGGCCGAAACGTTATGACAAATATGGCGACAAAGATGAGGACAATAGTTCGACTAATGTAAATACTGTACATAATACCTCATCTCAGAAATATAGAGAGACTTTCTTACTACATTCACCATAATACCTCATAGTCTCTATGATAAACCTAAATAGTTTCCATATGTACAATTCCTTGTCTGCGGGAGTGGGGAATAAAACAACAATTTAAAAAAATCTCCAATGAGTATGTACAATAATGGAACAAAACTATTTACTAGAAACTAAACAAAATAACGTTAGTAATACCCCCCAAAACCTTAAATGTGGCATAAACATCAGTTAACTGGACGAAAAAGATGCGGGATTATAACAGTATAAAACATTCATTCATCCCAAGCACTCAACATAGACACGCACGCATACAGGCACAACAACATATTCGAAAACACACACGCGAAACTAAAGGCACCCGGCATCCACCAGAGAACTGACATCACTGATCACCTAACGAGGGAGAGGATGGCGAATTAAACTAAAGAAAAATAGGGACAGAAATATAAGTGGCCGATGAGAATATATACCCAAGCTATTTAACTGAAAAAAATAAACTAAAGATTCAAAAACGAAACCTACACTAGCCTAATTTCGGGATGGGTTGCCTATGTTCAACCCAGGAAGAACAATATCCTAATACCCAACCGGTATCAAAGTGCCACTCTAGGTCATCAACTTTCACTACACACAATCGCGCAACATCCATCTTTTGCCAAATTATGATGAAGGGAGCCACCGCTTTTCCATCCAAATCAGTTGGGAAGAAGTGAGCTCCTCGCCTCCATAAAATTCCTTCTGGCGTGTCATCCAAACCACGACTCTCATAACAGCTAGCCAGCAATAGAACACATATTGTTCAGCTTTCGTCAACGGCGGTGTCACATTGCTACAAACAGAAGAGGCCACAAGGACGAAGAACTTTCCCTGCAGCATGCAAACCCTGAGGCTTAAATAAACTTGCACAACGGTGCTACCATACTCCAATGAAAGAAGGCATGACCCAGGGTCTCGACCTCCCCATCGCAATGTCGGCAGTTTGGAAATTACTCCAAGCCTGCTGAGCAAAGTCTTTTGCCGACCCAGAGTGCCCCATGAATCACCAGCCACATGAGAGATGCCTCATCGTTATTGAGACATTTCAACCCGGGCGCCCAAGGCCATATTGAGTGAGTCTTCGGGAGATTGGAGATGTTGAGGTGCGTGGAACCACTTCTTAATATATGTTGTTCCCAGATCCACCATGACCTAGCGTAGTAGCACCTGTTAGGGTCCCAGCTATGGGCAAATAGCCCCCCGAACAAAAATCAACAGACAATTTTTATAATAAATTGAGCAAAAAATAGAAAAATTTAACACTAAAAATATATTTTCATAGTAAAATTTCCTACAATACTGCTGTAGAGTAGCTAGCACCCTTCAGTACTATACTAGATGGCCTGGCTCATAGACCTAAATACTCCACGATTAAGGACTTCAAAATTTGAAGATTAATAAGTTCATAAGCTGATTAATATTCGGACTGATGTTACTGCATTTGGCTATACAGCATTTGACCCTTCTCTATTCCTTGTAAGTTGTCTTGTTAATTGTTTGTAACTTATTGTTCTGTGTTTTTTGTATGTATCCGTTAGCACCGGATACTGGTGCTGAATAAATATATTAAGCACTCATTCTTCTCTGTGCATCATTCACCTCGACGATAAAACATACTTTTTTATGATGTACAAACTATATATATATATATATATATATATATATATATATATATATATATATACACCCAAGTATAGAATAGGTGTATACGGAATAAATTCCAATAACCAGCAATTACTATTCTTAAAAGAGTGCTCAATACAGAGTAGATCATCATGACGATGGCCTGACGATTGCGCTGAGCATGAAACAGCCTGTCGCGTCTAAGTGCTGTGATCAGTGTTCAATTTTATATTTACACACGCTCTATCTCTGATATTGAGCACTTTATCCTATAAAGATACCACACCTTAAGAGTATATTTCTTCATATATATATATATATATATATATATATATATATATATATATATATATATATATATATATATATATATAATGAGATTTAAATGATTATAGATAACACGATTGCGTTTTGAAAACCCTATTATAAAATACTAGCAGTAGAGCCCGGCCTTGCCCGGGGATGTAACAGTAAGAGATAGATCAAGTATCGACCATCATAAAGACTGAAAAATAAAATTGACAAAGATTATTGTTTAAGGTTGACGGTCACGCATGTCTTAATTAGTTTTTTTGTTTTTTTTTTTACGAATTGGTCAAACCCAAACTCAAACAAAAATATTGTTTTCAATTGTTGAGAGTCTACCGATTGAATAGAATTTTATTATAAACAATTGTCTTGTAAATGGAATATTTAAAGCATTCTGAATGTAAAAATAAAGAAAAAAGTGTGCAAGACAATAAGAAACACATACATGAATGAATCATCTCCGTTCCCTTCGCATTCCATTAGTAGAGAGGAAGTTCCATTCGCACAACATTTTCCCAAGAACGGGGGCTTTGTGGAATATGACGCTTTCCCAATCACTTCAGGCTTACGAACATATTACGTTGAAATACTAGTTCCGTATGATCACCGAAGTTAAGCAACGTCGAGCCTGGTCGGTACCGAGATGGGTGACCACTTGGAAATATTAGGTGCTGTAAGCCTGGATGTGCGGATGGTGTAACGCATAATAGTTCGGAATTGTTAATCAGAGAGCCGAGTTCCATTTCCAGTTGAGTTCGTTATATTCACTTACGCGCAAATACCCTATGAAAGGCATAAATACACCTCTACCCCCTAGTTATGGGTTAATTAGTAAAACTTGTATCACTAAATCAGTATTATATACCCATCACAGAGAACCCTCCCTACCTCCCATCAGAATGTCTGATGATCAACTCCACGAGAGCACCTCTTTGCGACTGCTTCGTCTCACACTGTCAGCTGACCTGAGATTTAATAATTACATTGAATCAATAGTTTCATCTATTGCAAGGAAAGTTGGTTCTCTGTTCGCGCCAGAAAGTTTTTTCTCATCCGATTCCATCTTTTAAATATATAAATCAACCATTCGGACTTGTATGGAATACTGCTGTCTTTTATGATCTGGAGCCCCCGCTGTTCGTCTTAGGGTCTTCGACAAACTCCAGAGACTGATATGCATATGGTTGGCCCTGGTTTGGCATCCCGTTTACAGTTGCTCTCTCACAAACGTGCCGTCGCCTCCCTCTGTCTTTTCTACAAATACTTCCACAGTAAATGCTTTGCCGAGCTATTTTCGGTAGTTCCCAAACTGCATGAATTTAAACGTGCCACTAGGTAGGCATGTCAGTCCCACCCTTTCACTGTCTAAACGGTTAAATGTAGCCGTCTCTTCTACTCCAATGGCTTCATGTCTCGCACTTCCCGTCTGTGGAACTCCCTTCCTCTTACTTGCTTCCCTGATAGCTATAATCTCCAACTATTCAAATGCAATGTCAATTGATATTTCCAGATGTCTATTCCCCGTCCTTCTCTTCATGTTTTCCTATTTCACGACTCTTTACTCTGTAACCCCTTGCCTCCTAGTGGTACTTCCGTCTTGCTTGGGGTGAAAAGCTTAAAAAAATATCCCACAAAAAAAAAAAAAATATCCCACAAAAAAAAAAAAAATCTTACAACCTAAAAATATTGTCTGGCGTTAAATAACCTGCAAAGTGTTGATAAGCGGTAAAAAACAAATAAACGAATAATTCAATAAATCATCTGATCACTTCAAATTTGACCTCTTCAAACTAGAGTTAACCGTTCCTACATAAACCCATGAACTTTAGTACTTACACTTTCTTACGTTCATACAACTCAGCAACTCTCTACCTTCTGTATATTGGGTGAATTTTAGAATATATTTTTAAAAAGCAGCAAAATTAAGTAGATTAGCTACTGACGTATTATATAAGCGACTAGCAGTAGAGCCCGGCGTTGCCCGGGGATGTAACAGTAAGAGATAGATCAAGTATCGACCATCATAAAGACTGAAAAATAAAATTGACAAAGATTATTGTTTAAGGTTAACGGACACGCATGTCTTAATTAGTTTTTTTTTTTACTTTGTTTTTTTTTTTTTTACGAATTGGTCAAACCCAAACTCAAACAAAAACATTATTTTCAATCGTTATGAGTTTACCGATTGAATAGAATTGTCTTGTAAATGGAATTTTTAAAGCATTCTGAATGTAAAAATAAAGAAAAAAAGTGTGCAAGACAATAAGAAACACTACCTGCCAAAAGAAAAGTGAAGTTTTGTTGAAATCGGTTAAAAAATGTAGGAAATCCGATCCAATATATGAACGAACACACACACACACACAACCTGAGTTTTATAATAAGTATGATGTCTAAATCATTGCTCTAGAGCAGGTGTCCAGAATACCTATATACATAATCTTGTGTTCAAGTATATATTATAAAATTATGTATATAGGTACGTTGGGAATATACTTGAACACACGAATATATTTGGCGATAGATTCGAATGTCTCTTTCCGTATCGTTTCGTTTGTCGTTCTAATTTTCACCCTTCCAGTCAAATCCACATAACCTGACCGCTGGTTGTGACTACTCCTATTTACACTGGACCCTTGAAATAGTCGATTGGTAGCCCACAATGAAACCTGGGACAATACATGACCAGCGAACCGGCGGCCGTATGATTAACTGTTTGACCACACCGGACCGAATCAGTACAGCTCATTAGCAGTGGTCAGTACCCTCTAGGCCAGTACAAGGCCAAACCTCTATTTCTCTTCACTTTGGCCAACAATGAAGAATCGAGGTGGATAAGTGGTTCTGCCATCAAATATCTTTGCCTCACGGTATCCGCTGTCACCTGATCTGCTAGTAAGTCGTCTACTTCTTCTCCTAGTGGCTGACATTTGCACTTATTTCCACCCTCTCTCTCTCTCTCTCTCTCTCTCTCTCTCTCTCTCTGTCTCTCTCTCTGTCTCTCTCTCTTTCTCTGGGCTTTCGGTAAATTTTACCTTTCTTCTATAATTCACCTGCGTTTCTGTAATTATCTCCCTTTTATTTTCTATAATTTTCTTACACATTTTTTTTTTCATTTTCACGGTCATTCTATAATTTCTAACGCTGGGCATCTTTACTTTGTTTCGTTCGTTTTTTTTTTTTTTTTTTTTCAACTTCAAGCAAGCCAGTTGAACGTAAAGAGGCCTACTAGGAGGTAAAGAGAATGACTTTTCATTTTCAAAATAATATTCAGCGTTTTCTATCAGTTTATTTTACTTCCTCTCAATTTCACGCGCTACCAATAATTTCAAACGATACGGAATGTGTTTCCAGCTTTTCATATAATATGTCATGTTCTGGATTAATTCTTTTTGCTCTCTGTCAATTTCCTGGCTTACGATCAAATCACGTCAAAACACCAGTTCTCGTGGGATCATCATGTGTTCTCGTCAAACTTGCTCAATGCCGAGAAGCGTATCATAGTCACAATACCAAGAGCTGTAAGCTTGGATGTGCTGGTGTTCTAATGGATAACGGCTCCGAATTGTTAATCGGAGAGCCGTGTTCCAATTCAAGTCGGCTTCGTTATAATAACTAAGGCGCAAATACAATTGAGAAAAGTATGAGACCAGCTATCCTCCCCCACCACTAAGCTTTGGGTTAATTAGTTGAATATGTATAAGTAACAAAAAAAATATGCACTTTCAAATGCTTAAAATAAAATGCATGGTGTTAAAAAAAATTGCAAAAGGTTGATGAACCGTAAAACACAAATCAATCAGTTAGCCTATCAATTTCCAGCTTTACCTAAAATTTCCCCAGTTTGTATCGTTGTCTCGCTTTTAAAAATTAATTAAGTATCGTTAACTTTATATATATATATATATATATATATATATATATATATATATATATATATATATATATATATATATTTAGGCAGAAATCCTTCGTTTTTTCATTAAAACGACAGAAAAGGTACTACGGTTAAGTTTTTTTATTTAATTTTTCTTGTGTTCGAACAAGAACTTTCTTTTCTGAAGAAAAAGTGTCTAAAAACTGTCCAAATGTTTTATATTTCCGAGCGCTTTCGGCTATACCTTTAGCCATTATCAAGGATGATTCATTTTTTCAGCTTAATTGAGTGTTTACATTATGTGTATGTTTTAGTGTATTGTAGAGATGTTTTTAATTTCCGAATACGATTAGCACATTCTGGTCTTGTTCGTATGTGTCCTTGAGGACATCTGTGTATGAATTCCTGGGTATTATAAACCTAATGTCTTCAGCAATTCATACAAAGATGTCCTCAAGGACACATAGCACAGTGGATAAAGGTGTTGGTTAGATACAGTGACAGGACCCAAAGAGTGTGAGTTCAATACCTGTAAGGCGGTGGAGAACTCGGAGAGGGGAATTAACGGGAGATAACTGATAAGTGACATCCATTAGTCATGGCTAGAACAGTCTAGCTCTTCAATTCAAATAATATACAAAAACCCCGAACCTGTTTATGAATGAAAAGATCCTTGTTTTTAAAAATTTCTGTTGCATAAGTTATTATTTTTACCAGTTTTCGTCTGTTCCTACAGACATCCTCAGGTTCGGGGTTTTTGTATATTATTTGAATAAGAACTTATGCAACAGAAATTTATAAAAACAAGGATCTTTTCATTCATAAACAGGTTTGCGACGATGGATTTCTCGCCAATTAAATCATTAACCTTTGTATTTGTTTTTTGTATGAATAATTCATGAATATATATATATATATATATATATATATATATATATATATATATATATATATATGGAGAGAAAGTGGGATAGAGAGAAATGGAAATAGAGACAGAGAGAGACTGTTTCGCTGTATCACAGCTCATGATTGTGGATAGACATCCGACTGCTTCAAGCCGGAATCGAAACTTGGCTGATTTGGCATCTGTCAGAGACGCTATCTCTAAGATATCAGCGCACGTCAGAGAAAGTGAATCTTTTAACGTATTATATACGTGATGTATATAAACGCTAACTCATCAGCCAGAGCGCTCAATTCATACCAAGAGCTGTGCGTTTAAATAGTAGTAGCCACTGTCAAAATACCCCTTTCTCCATAGTGATCAGTCATGCGTTCTAATCGATTAATCATTAATGTTCAATTGAATCGCACGTGAGCACCAAGTTCTGATGATGTTTAGTTTATCTTCCGTTAATATAACGTGTAAAGTTAACTTTTTAAAAGATGGATTTCATTCGTGCAATATAGAGCATTGGTCTCATGGCCAAAGTGCTTCCATCGCATAACGACGAAAGTAGGTTTGGAGAATTTGATGCTTACGCATCGAAAGAAAGTCCATCTGAGGAAATCTATGGGAACTCTATTTTGTATGATTATGGAAATGAAATGGCACATAAAAGAGAGAGAAATCTTCTTTTTTTGTGGGGAAGGGGTATAGGTTTTAAGAAAATCTAACTTTTACCACCCAAAAATCATTTAATTCATGCCCGAAGACGAAATTGAAAGCAACCTGAGGAGACACATGCTAACTTGTGTGTGATGACAAAGGGAACATATTAAGCGGACTGATGCAACTACTTCTGAATAAATTTATCTTTCATGTACATTTTTGAAAAAAATAAAAATGACAATTTAATTAA